CCCCACAACACTTTCCTCTGAGGCCAAACTTTTCCTCAGATGGCGCAGCTTGAGCAAAAAAAACCCAGGCCGCGATGTCGCTTGAAGTCCTCGGCGAAATCGTTATCCCAGTATGCTGAGCAGCCGTTTCGAAGCGGAACATTTCGTCCGGTTTTCCTGTATACTGACAAATTAAACATGATTAGCGTCGGTTTTTGCCAGTTATTTGAACAAACCTTACACGCATGACCTTAATAATAATTCTTGTAGGTTTAAGATTTAAACCCACTTGCCTTTTTTGCCAACTTTTCGATGGAACCAGCTTATCGGTGTCTTCAGATTCAGTTTCTTCAACGCCGATATCCGCAAGCCACTCGAATATTCCCGCAAAGCGTTCGGCGTGAAGTACATCTCTCCGAAGCTGATCTGTCCTTTCTTCTAAACTGAATTTTAGAAATTTGAATCCTCGCAATCCCGTTCAACCCAATTCTTTTACCTAATGGTTCCACAAGGATTTTATTAAACAATTCAATCGACATCTCTCTATCTAGTTCGCTTTAGCGCTCTACTCACATTGCGCGCCAGGACGCCACAGGATTGCCCAAAGACGCCTTAAGAATTGTAGGCGATTCACGTGCCCTATTTCCGGTGCCTCAGTCCACTTTGCGCCGCAACATGTTTACTTTCAAATCAAATTTATTGGCACTACGATAATTCTTGTTGCTCTTCGTACATCTTAAGAGAAGAAAAATTATAGCACGAAAATTTCAGTAACGGCGAAATAGAAACGAACTAGGAGAGTTTGCTTTGCGGAGAAATGGGACAAGGAGTGAAATAGAGTAATAGAGCAATTCTTAAAATTTAAGATAACGATTAGATTCTTAAGAAGAATAGAGATTAATACAGTTTCACTGAGTGGCAGAGTAAGGCAAAATATACTTATCTTTGTAGGCTTCTACAGCGTCAAGCAGTTGTTGAGTGTGAAAACTGTAACGGTGACTACATGCGAATACTACTACCTGCTGCTTAGCTAGGAGCGCCAAGGGACGATGCTTACACCGCGACGGTCATGGACGAACTGTGTGGCATATTTCTTACCGATACTAATTACACATGTGGAGAAAATTTAAAGAAAAAAATTGGAGCAGGTTTTTAGGATTTTTGTTGTAAGTTTCAATCGCAAACATGGATTCTGGCTACAGCACGTGTTAGAGGATTTTTTTCTTTATTTAGCAACTGGATTTATCTACTTTTTCCTTACCAGAGTCTGGCAATAAGAGTTTTTGTGCCGAAAATTTATCGTTTCCGGCGCATGATTATAATAGTTCCTCTTCTTACGTTAGTGCAAGAAAGTAAAAACAATAAAAGATAATAACTATACAGGATTTTTTTCCTTTTCAAAGTATCTGATAAAGGAAAAGTGGAGCAATAAAATACACCCAGTTTCTTACACTTTCGCCCGTAATATGGTTAAAAATGAAAATTTTTAATTAATTCCCTTCTAAACTGGGCTCATGGCCTCAAAAATGTGCTTACCACTGTTAAAAATATTCATTTTGTCCGCCAGGTGTAACAATGACCTAATGCCACTGGCTACTTAAAAGAAATCGAAATGTAGGTGACATTGGGCGTTCACAGAATGTTGAGCCTTCATGTAAAGTACCTACAAAAATCAAAATATCCTTTTTAAACTTGCTGAGCTTTGAGTGCCTTCAGATGGTTCGGGGACTATCAATTTGGGAGAAAATCGTCTGAACGGTTTAGCCGCTAACGTTACCACATGTGGACGGATAGACAGACATTTTGCCGTCGATAGATTTTTCAGTATCAAGGACCCACAAACTCTCAAATTTATTATAGAAGATGTAATTAACTAACCATTGGAACAAGAATTATCCACTTTTTCTCGGCCCGGAAATTTGCGTTGTTTTTTCTCCTTTTTTGTGTGTGTGTGTGTGTGTGTGTGTGTGTGTGTGTGTGTGTGTGTGTGTGTGTCAAAAATCGCCGATTTCCGCCGCACGATTACAATGATTTATCTTTCACTTAGGTTACGTGCTTAAGCGAAAAAGTAGGAATTGCTGACAGGCGGTTTTCGGTAGATGTGGCGATGACGAAGCAATATAATAAAAAATATTGCGTTTTAAATAGTTTAAGCAAGAGCTGGAAAATTAATCAATATTTATTCATATTTATACAATATAAGTTATGAAACATCAATAGGAAACATATAGGAATAGTTATAAAACAACAATAGCTAATCTCAGTGCATCGTATTGAGAGGTAGCTGCCCATTCTTAGTGATTCAGGCTCTGTGTGCCGGCCGCAACTGTTCGTATCCTTTTGTGCGGCGATAAGCGCTCTTAGTACAGCCTTCGGAGAATATTGGCTGCTGGGCGACTCTCTGACCGGGCCTGACGCAACGCGTCCTTTGAACTCACAGTGTGAACTTGAGTGAGAAATGGTGATGTGTTTTTGAGTGCGCCCTGATTCTTGGGTTCAATGAAGTTTTAATTGCGTTATCAGGGTTCTATTAATCGCCATGCCAACTTTTTATCGTAGTTCTGTTGAAACAAAAAACATATGGTTCACATAAATTCGAAGAAAAGCTTTCGATGGCACAGATAAGACGAGTCCAGCCCTTCGTTATTAAATTTGTCAACTAAAGTTACCAAAAGATCAATCAGGCACTTTATGGTGTTTTCATATGTTTACAATTGACTGTGTAGAAGTGTCTAGGTTCTTTTGAAAATATAAGGGAAGGCCAGTATAAATGTTCGGATTTCTGTTGAATTTTGTAATGTAAATACTCTTACAAAATCAGCTACAGTTCACGAAAAATCATGTTATATCATATACATAGACATCCACTATTTTTTTTTTAGTTTTACTCCCATCTTGAACTTCATCTTACGCCTATTATCACGTGAACAAACAACCGAAGAATTCTATAGCAATTTCAATGTATACTTAGGTGTTCAGAAAATTTATTAAAAGGAACATGGAAAAATAATACCAGAAAAATGAGCGTTATTTGAGTGTTTAAGTGAGTTCTTGGTCGTGTTCTTGGTCAGTTACCTCGCTTTCCACTACGCGGCCCCGCGTTCGATTGCCGGTCGAGCCACGACTGAAGTGTGCGTTTTCCTTGCAATGTCCCAGTGTATGTTGCTGTGTGACGATGAGAAAATCCACTTCTAAGGTTAAGAAGACTGGAATACGGCGTGAGGATGTCCACGTGCTAACCCCACGTACCTCCTTAACCCATGGCCGCGAGGCAGGGACGTCGCCAGTAGGCCTGAGCCTGTTCACGGGCTGTCGGGACAAGTACATATATACACACATACGAGTACATCTCCCAGTAGCTTAGATTGTGCCGGAAGTTCGACTCATCTTGCGATGACTACGCAAAAGTCTCCGACTCGCTACTGATGCCAGAACTTACTCAAATTATGTATAATGATCAATTAGACGCCTTAAATGAAATAAGGAAAACAATATCAGTACTCCATTCCGCAGCCGAAAAGTAAGTTCATTTAGCTACGAAATAAACGTTACAGTAATGGCAATATGGTAAGTATTAGATATGACAGTAACAATCAAACTACGAGGCGACTGCATACAGAGCAGATGGTAAAATATCAATCTTCAGGGTTGACATGAAACGGTAACATGATTATAAACACATTCTTTTTTTAATTCTTGTAACTTCAGTAATTGGGCACTCCTTTATTATGTTAATTTTTATCGTTTGCTGTAAATGAAAGAATTTCAATCAACTTCATTATATTTTCCTTTATCTTCTACCATACATTTTCCATGTTTTTTTCTTTTTTAAATTAAATTCTGTTTAATACGAGAAGTGGATACATACTGTTTCTGTAGGGGTGAAAATGTTACATCACATATACTTAGTATAATATTTGTTGAACTAGTAGTACCACAATAATACATACTTTCTCGCATTAATTGTAACTGCTATGCAATATTTTATAGTTACGCACATGAATATGCAAATGCGTTTCCGAGCAGCAAATATTTCTTTCTCCGCGTCGAGATTCGAAAGCGCCTTTCGAGTTAATAGGTCATTACGTTAGGTACCACTACACCACTTTTTCATGGCTATATTAAGCAAAACTGGTTGATCTAACATACTAGTGGAGCTTCATTATTAAAAATTAAGTCGTAACGAATCTCCCGATTGGAAAACTGCATCCAGATCTTCCAAAATATTTTCCTTTTGTTTTTGATATTATTGTTTCCGTAAATACTCTTCGGTTAATACTATGGTGAAAATATAAATTCATAATAATCTAATTATTGTGTAATAGTTACATTAATTGCCAAAAATACACTGGCGTTTTTGTCCTTGTTACTCACTGTAATCTGTATTTGTGCCATTTGTTTGGGTGAGCTGTCGCACGGCCATCGTTTACTAAATATTTTTCCACAATGGGATGGGCCTATACTCTCTGGGATGGGTCATGGCTGGCGGCATCTCTGGAGTTGTATCTCTCCTCTATGGCGGCATCCAACCTGCATCCAACAGAAAGTGATACTTCTTCAGAGAGTAGTAAGCGATCAGGGCCCGGCAACTCTCCATCAAAATTGGGAACAAAGCTAGAGGTTGCTACTATAAGATGCGCTAGTGTCGCCTGATATAGCTGCTAGTAAGACTCGCCAACTTTCGCACATAAAAATTGGTCAAGAAATACGAATACACTTTGATTATGAGCGATTTCTGAATTAAATTACAAAAGAAGTTAAATACTACGTGTTTATCTTCTAAAATGCATTTATTCATAATAATACACGCATGAAAGAAAAGGTAGCGCGAACAGCGGCGCGATCTTTTGTATCAAACGCGTACGTTTACGTCCCGAGAACCCACGCACGTTTTAAATAACGTTGGTAGCAGATCGTATTTTAGTTCGTGTAAGAAGGTGAGAGCGCGCCACTATAATGGTCCCCACCACGTTATACGGGAGTTATAGGGCCCTGGAAGCGATAGTGCTGCCCCCGAAGTCACGTGTGGTCACATGATTTGAGCATCTGTTATGAGATAAGACACAATCTTTTTGGAAATATCTCTTAAATATAAGTTTGGGCAAGCCACATACGCATCTACTAACTACTAATACTGGAACTGTTAGAATTACAAATTATTGTAATGAAACGCCTTTGTTCATTAGGGAGATGGGCATTTTGATGTTGAGAGACTGGCATGGCTAGCGCAACTGGTGGCATGCCTGTAAACAATGACTTCAAGGTGGGTTATATAGAAAGGGCGCAGTTCAGTTTGAAGACGATGGGGTGCATCCTTTATCGATCGTCTAGCTTAGCTATTGGCAATTCCTGCTGTGAACGTTTTTGAATGATCTGTGATTAATATGAGTTGATTAAACAGAAACACTATGCTTTTTCCTCCATTTTTGCTCCAAATTCTCTTCTAAAGTGGGTTGAATTGATGACAGCCTCAGTTGCCAGACTAGTATACCCGTGCACTTGAGAGGTAGGTTGATACCGTATAGGTTAGTTGAAAATTGGTTGTTTTCTCCTTTTCTACTGTGCGCCTTTTTGTAAATTTTCTGTAAAAAGACTGTAAATTATCTGTAATATGTACAAATATCACTGTGACACCTTTTTAGGTACCCACAATGTTAAAAGAATGGCATTAATTATTAAATAATTGAAATTTACTTTACATGTTCAAAATTTAAGTTCAAAAACATATAGTCTGAGCATTCTTTACTGTTAAAAGTTATGACGTGAAGTCGTCTTGGATTAATATTTTCAAAATCTGTCAAAGTTTTTCTTGCATGGAAATTAGATTGAATAAATGTAGGATTTTGAATGTTTTATTAACAATTTATTTTTGACTTTGTGATCAAATTCCTTAATGGCAACATGTGAAAAAGTCAGTAAAATCTTGTGAAACAATTAGAAATATATTATAAGTAATTGCATTCATTTATAATTTGTTCACATAGAGTATTTGTGATGTTTTTTCCTAGGGAACAATTATTTTCAGAAATGGCGTATGTGTCTGACACATCCAAAATGTTTGAAGAAGATAGTTGGAATCAAGTTAATCAGATTCCAAGTATGTACTCACAACAATCAGGATTCCAATCGGAAAGTGAGAACTGGATGGGAGAAAAGAAATATGTTCACAAAAGACAAGCACAAACTTGCGAAAATGGCTTAATCAAAGTTCCAAAACTTAACACATCACATCTTTGCCCTCAGATGTATCACTCTTCTGTGGAACAGTGTGTAGTAGCCAATACATCAAACACTACTCATTCAGATTGCATTAGTTATACAAGGCATAACAATCAATTATGCACTCATGCTACATCAGAGAATGCAACTTTTGGAGTTGCTCAGGAACAGGCTGGGCACTCCAGAGAGAAACAAATGAACAAGCTTTATGCTCAAAAAATAGCAATTGGTATATAATATGAATAGAAATTGGCTCATATGTGCATTATTGTACCGAGTCTAATTTTGGAGAAGGTTAACTGTTGCAACTAGATGTATTTATTAACTGCAAGCAAAATACCATACTGCATTTGTTGGTATACTTATTACTCTTCAGTCAGTTTGTGGTGGGCACTTCCCACCTTTTGCAGACTTCTGAACTTTTTTATTAAGATGAGAATGCTGAAATTGATATCATTTTATTTTCTATGCATCTACAAACAAAGTACTCCACTGCTTTCTAATTTGACTCTCTTTATCTTAGAATAACATGCAACTTTCTCTTCTTGTGAACATTATTTTTTACTCTGACCTTTTTTTACACTTACCCAAAATTTGTTTTCCCTGACCTTGTACTGGTTGTAAATGATTCTGTAAGTTTATCATTGAATGTAAGATAAAGTGTTTAATTGAGTATTTGTTAATTGACATAAAGTAATTTGTTTTTAATATTATCTATGCATGCATATAATAATTACATATAATTAATTTACATATAAAATAATTTGTAAATGCTGTATATTGTGAATTATCATATTTTATACTCTTTTAATTTATTCTGAATATACTGAAATCAATAAAGATGAGTATATTCAAAGTTCTTGTTTTTTTACTGAAAATATTGCCTAATATATATAAATTTTATAATGTTATATTCAGGTGTTACACTTGAGAAGGGACCACTTTGACAGGACCATCATGCAGGGCAATGACATCGTAAGAGGTAGTGATAAAGCCATTCATAAATGAGCTAACTGTAACTGAATACACTGACAAAATGAGTGATTGGACATAACCAGCCCAATGTTGCCCAAGTTTTCTGGAGCTTAGCGCCTGTGTTTCTTCACAATGAAAATGAGATTTACTTCTTTTTTTTTTTAATAATATATTCTATATTGCTTTTGTTGACAGTGGATGATACAAATGGAGTCATTGCACCCTTTGCTAATTTGATAACAAAACAGGTTTGCTCCCATTGATCCCTTAGCTTATGTGATAATGCTTTTTTATTTTCTTTAGTTGAAATGTTCATGAATCTTCTCTTTGGGTGCTGTTATTTAGAAATTTACCCAGAATACATTTTTTACTTCCAATATAATTTCCATTGTTTGTAATGCAGAGTCATGTGTTTTGGAAATCTATGTGAAATAAATTCACATTACCTTCAACTTTGGAAGAATAATTCTGTAGACATATGTGTTTACTTGGAGCATCTTGAGATGCTGATGGTCAGGTAGTCCTTCTGCCTTTGGATAGTGTGTTTCAAATTATGGTAGATTGGTAAGGAATTTATGAAGGACAAAGCGAGTTTGCAGCATGGGCATTCTCCCATTATTTTTGCCTCTGTTGAGACTTGAGGGGTATTTGTGTTATTAACATCACAAAATATACTAATGTCAAGTAATTTTAGTCATTGGTTCTAGTATATTTGCTCGGAATTTGTTTCTAGTAGCTTCAATACTAATCTAAATAAAACCACAATGTTTAATTGGCATATGTACTCTAACCAGTGTTCAATAAGCAGTTAAAAAGGCACCACAAACACACTATAATGTATCGCTAAATAATCAGAAAAGTAAGAAATGGCGTGTTTACATCGAGTAAAGTTTGATTAATTTTCTGATTAACCTTGAACAAATACTGAATCAAAATATATTTTGTGCCTATAATATTGTCTATCTCTTGTATTGTAAGATTTAAAAGAAATTTTAAATTTTAGAAATTAATAAAACCATTACAATGTTTTTGTTTCAAATATATTATTTATTGGAGAACATAAAGTGTCATTTAAAAATGAACTGCTAGTTTTATAATAAGTATTGCAATTAATTGGACTTGGTTAATGGTTAAAATAGACCAATCAATTCCAATTGTGTCCAGGTGGTGAAATGTATAGTAATACCTGCCCTCTGGGGCTTTTATCTCCTTAAGGTTGTTTGAATGAGCTATCTGTCTTGGATGCTGCAGAGGTTAGAGCAACTAGGTGTACACCGGGAGTTCAAGGTTTGATTCTCGATTATTGGTGAAGTCAATTCTTTGAACAGTCAGAACATTTTCTAGTTTTTTTTCTTTCTTCTTCTGGGGGGCCTCTGAACAATCAGAATATGGTTTATAAAAATACTTTTGTAATAAATAAACATATTTCAGAGAATAGTAGTTTATGGGGCAAATTTTAAATTGTTGTCATTTTACGGTATTATTTAGCTAAATTGATGGTAATGTGTACTATATAGCATGTGAATTTATCAATGAATGAATTTTATGCTAATTCCCTTGGAATGTTGAAATTGATGGAATTGTGCAGCCCTGCTGAACTCTGTGACTGACAGACCCAAGCATAAAAATTTGCCCAAGAGCTGTAATGTGTTGGGGAGGGGATAGATGTCATTTAGCACCAGGAGAAAGGGCTGTGGGGAGGAGGCTGCGGGGTAGTTGAATGCATAGCCCTAAGTTCTGGAGTGCACAACACAGGAGCAATGCAAATTATCTTTCGCTTTCCCAGCTTTGTAGGGGACCGTGTGCACACACGCAATGGTGCAAATAGAATTCAACAGCAATACAATAGGTTTAGTAATTTGTGGACCATGGATAGTGATACTGATATTGGAAATCCTTTTGCTGTGGGCATCATAAAGGTCATATTATTGCAGTGTAAAGTTGAATATTTGCAAACTGACACATTCCTAATACCAATATTCAAATATTTTGTTAGTATTTAAAGAAATTTCAAAAGCATTTGCAAGGAAAATATATCATTTGAATTCATAATTAAAATGTCAAAAAAATATTGCAAAGGGTTTTTATTTAAAAAACGAATGAAAAGTAATAAATTAGAAGGACAATGTAATACCAAGCTTTTAATATTGGAGTGGGGTAGGAATAGAATTAAAAATAAATTTTGGGTCAAAACCATTGTTCAAACCTTTTGTTTGTCAAATACTTCCTTAGTGTATGCTGAAATGTTTGTATATTTTAGTAAATGACACCATGAAATAACGCATTTTGCACCCAATTTACCGTTTCCTCTCACTGTGTCATTGGGTTTGTGATGCACAAGACTGCACCAAACCATTCTAAACATGATGCTACTGTACCCCTTCTTTTCTCTCTCACCACAAATGTCCCTCTCGACTCCCTGGTCAGAGAGTGATAGCACACTGGCTTGTATATGCACAAATATTGAAAAGAAAATGAATAAATAATACAATAGGATATGTGGGTTTTCCATGAAGTCTCTTTCCATACTTATACCACTCTCATATTCCAAGTTAATTCCAATGACTGCTGGAACTTAAAGAAAGATCTGTTTCTTGAAGAAGACACATCTGATGGAACACAAAAGTATATTTCATTTATAATTTTGTATATAATTATTCAAACTAGTAGATAGAATTTACAAAATTGAAACAGCCTTTCTAAATTAATTTCAGGTTAATTTTATCTTAGAATAAAAAATAAAATATTTTCAAAAAAACAGCTGCAAACTTTAAAAAAAATATTTTCTAGTTCTGAAAAACAACAACAAATTAACACTAGCTATTTTGTATTATTAAAGGTACCAGAATACAATCCCTTCCAGAAACATGATAAGAATTTTTTTCCAAATAGATCTTGCATACCATCTTTGATCCTACTGTATGTCATTGGTGGTGCATGTAACAGCAGTTGAGAACTTTTGAATTAAATAAAAACATCCGTCATACAACAGTTGAAGGTATACAATGTGTTGCTGTGATATAATTCAGCTTAAAAATTATGTTATGTTTATGTATTGTATGAAATCAAAACCACATTCTGTACTGAAAATGATTTACTTGATATTTTACATAAGTTACATTGTTTATAATCAATAGTTACAGGAAGTTAGTAGAGTAACTTGTATTCTTGGAGTTTTACTGTGCCCTTCTGGAAGACACAACTGATACTTAAATGGAAAGCATGCTATTTCACCCCCCCCTCCCTCCTTCTCCTTAGCACAGTACTGACTTCGTGCTCCCAATTGTCATATTACAAAGGAATGTTTTGAGCATTTTCCACCTTGTTTATTTTAGATAGGAAACCAGTTGTAAGTTAATTTGATACAGTTAAAACACAGTTAATATACATAGTTTTTCTGATACTTAAAAAAGGCATAGCTGAGGTTTCAGCTTTTACACTAGACTCTAGAAGAGCATCGAGTCTGAAAATTACAACTGATGCAGCCACATCAGAATTTATGAAAAACAATTTCTTGGTGCATAATTTAAGATCTTGCATATTCATGTTGAAAAAATTAAGTACCGTCAAATATAAAGCGGTTTGTTCTTCTCGAATGCATGTAGAAGTCTTGGGTGTAGACGGGCAACACAAGAACAATACTCAAAATTCTAACATTCAAATATAGACCAAATAATGTACAGGAGCACAAAATGAAACATTACACCGTATCTTACAAAAACCTCTAGAGACAGAGAAAACAACTTGAAATTACTTCAAGTGAAAGAGTATTTACTTGTCACTGATATTCTTATTTTGGAGAAGTTTCACTCGGGCCAAAATGTGTTGAATCCACTGATCTTCAGGAACTACAGTTGCCCACTGTGGAACAGCTGAAGGAGGTAATGTGACATTTGCCATTGCAGCCATTACATCTGCAACTTGCTGTTCTCCCATTTCTAAACGAGAGCTGCTAGGACCAGCCTCAACTCCATCAGAACTCTCCTAGAAAAACAAAACGTACTTTATTAATGAACAACTGAAACATTTTTTACTATTTGGCTGTCAGGAATGCAAAACTGCCCTGAGGAAGGTAACAGCGTAACTGCCAAAACACGTTAGCATGTGTGCCAAGGACGCAGACAACCTGACAACCAAGTAAGATATGCTCTCTGGCCACTGAAGCATGCTTTCAGCTGTAACATTTTAACTGCATCACATGGCAAAAGCAAGAAAAATCAAATTTAAATTCTCTACATACATGCATATTTACATGGAGTTATCACAATAGTTATCAACAATTTTTTATATTCAAAATATTTTATTGATCAATTACGAATTAGGCACGAGTAATGTTGATTTTCATATTACAGTAAAATCTGTCCACGCTGGAATTGTTCGGTAAAAAAAATATGGTTTAGGGAGGTTTCAGTTCTATGTAGGGTTGTCTTTATTATGTAACAAGTTATACTGATATTTCCATCCTGAAACTAGTGAAGTACATGACTTTATTGTAATTATAAAAAGATATAAACATATTATGTATTTATTGGCAAAATCACCAATAAATTAATATTAAAGACATTTCTGATAATTTATAGGAAAATCTTCACAACTTGTGCACAAAAATAATTCCAAAAATCATCTACAGTTTTTAACTTTTTGATTTCCCACTTACTAACACCTTTTCTATTGTTTCCAGAAGTTGAAAAACCAATATTTAGAGTTTTATCAACCACTATTAAACTGGTTGTGGAACTCATAAAAGTACACCACCTCACTCTAGTGGCTGCAGCCAGACTGCTTGCCATCTCTTAAAGGCACAACGCATCCCAACCCAGGGTACTACATCTTTCTGATACCCTTGCATGACCTTGAACAATGCGGCTCAGGCCGAGAGGTTATGGTTCTCTCATCACGGGGTTGAGAGATGTGTGAATAGAAGTCATGCTTGTGCAAATTCCCACGCTCAAGAGAGCAGGGAGAGAGGGAATTCCCCTATCGCATTCACCTTGAGAGACAAGCAACTCCAATGTCAAATTCTAAGCTGACAGCTGAAGCTCTTCACCTTCACTGACCACCACGACTGAAATGCAAATCACAGCAGCAGAGAAATTAAAACAAGACTTGCAGATGCATTTATTCCGTTAAGAGATTCTAAACGTCTCTCTGGCAATTGCATTAAATTCACAGAAATTCCGTTTTAAAAGGTTTTCTTTCGCTGCAGGACATTCAAAACCATTCTGTTTTTGCGTTGGAAAGGTTCTGTTTTATGCCATGTTAAATGCCATTTAACTTCTCCGGCTGTAAAAAAAAATTCCGGTTAAGGCAGGTTTCCGGCTTGTACAGGTTTTGGTTTAGACTCATTTTATTGTCTTTGTTAGAATCTACTTAGTATAAGCAGGATGTACCAAAAATTGCATTTATAGGAATCAGGAAGCACCATTGCTTCACAATGCTGGAACTATAATTAGACTGAACTGGTAGGTTTCCTGTGGTGTGATTTAAGTCACCAAAAACTGATATGACTTGTAGGTACTTAATAATGAGCCAGGAATTTCATTCAAATTAAATACATTTTTTTTTATCATGTGTCTATCATGTTATCATTTATTAATTTTTTTTATAACATTTTTAAGTTACTCACTACCCCAGTAGAGAGAAAGTTATACAATGCTGCGTGCAAACATGGCAAATTTTCGGCAGAAAAACCTACTGCATGGCCCTAGCAATGAAAAAGTGAATAAATGATGCTAAATGCCAAATGCTAAATTTAGAAGAAAAAATCCTCTACTACGTGACGTAGCCAGAATCCACGTTTTGTGAGTCCTTGATATGGAAAAATCGATTGACGGACAGACAGGCAAAACGTCTGTCCGTCTCTGAGCAGCGCAAGTCGCTAAACTGTACAGCCAATTTCCTCCAAAATTGATTTTCTCCATTCGATCCGGTTGATGTCACAGTCCTCGAATTTGAAACCAATATTTTAATTTTGCAGAGTACTTTACATAAAGCCCCTGGGAAGTTTTCAAATAAATGGCTCGATTGTGTTTGATGAATTGTTAGATAATCTGAAGAACATTTAAGAAACTGCAGATTGAACATTTAAGCAAATGGTGTTGGTTGAAAACTCTGATTTTTCGAAAATTGAAAAAATCAAAAATGTTTCGTAGTCTTCCTACAACTACAATTATGAAGATGAACTTTTTTCTTACTGAAATGTGTTCATCAAAAACAGATCTTCAAATAACGTCATGTTGAATTTTTTGAAATATGAGTATTTTTTGTTTAATTTGGCAACAAACATAAGTTGCCCATTCCCAATTTACAGTGCTTTGTGAACATAAAATGAATGGTGATACTATGCAGTTGGATGCTACATAACTTAGAATTTGAATATTATTATTTTGTTATTATTTTTATTATTATTATTTTTATTTATCATATTTATCTTATTTCATTTTAAATTGCATCCTTTTTGTTAAATGTGAAAACAAATAGATGATTTTGCTTTGCTAAATAAGATGTGGGAATGGCGAATAATGCATGTAAAAACCAAGTAGTTTTGATGAATATATAAATATTCTTAATAGACAAGAACTCTTGACTGGTGGTAATAGGATTTCAAAGGAGGGATCTTTTAATGCCTGGAATTGTTAGAAATGCTTGAATTTCTTTCAATATTATACAATATTTAAATGAATTCATATTAGAGGCACTCAGATGCACTAAAATAATATTTTTCAAAATATTAAATTTCTCTTATTGCTATTATATGTCACTTTGAAACAGATCACTAGTGTTTACATGGTCCAGTAAAAGTATCAAAAATTAAGAATGTTGGATTTACCAAGTACGCAAGGGAAAGGCAAAAATCAAATACAATTTTTTTATCCATTTTAAAACAAAGTGATATACCTGACTCCCACATTCTCGGATTTTCTTTTACCATGTGTCACCCTGACAAAGAAACTTCAATGAATAATACTAAAACTGTTATAACATTCATAAATATAACTTTTATTTATATGATCTGGCACAAAGAAAGAATCTGCGTAATTTCTTTTTTGGTTTGAGCTGTTTCACCTCCTGTAAACTATCACTCCTTTGTTTTTTTAGTTGTCTAATGCCCAGGCTTTGGAAACTAGTTAATTGTTATCTGCCTAGTGTGCCTGTATGGGCATGCTAGGTTGGCCGCGCAAGTATGGCTCATCTGTAGCTAGCTCAAACTTTCACCTTAAAATGTTGCAGTAATACAATTAGCCCTTCATGTTGTTTTCTATAATATCCTAAAAGGTGTCACCATGTGCACTTCAAAACTTTGAGGGGGGAAAAAGGTAATAAATTTTTTTTACAAAATAAGTCAGGCGGATAAGGATTGACCTTGAGATCTGAATTTGAGTAATATTGTTGGGTATTTTCAAATTTTCACCACATGCGTGCTCAACACTATAAACCCCTTTCTTTTCTTGTCTTTCTTTTGACTCTCATGTTTGCTGCCAGAGACTGAAAGGTCTGCCATATCTATCCCTTACTTGTGTTGTTCTTTGGTTGAACAAATACGGGATCTGATTATAATGGGAATTCTCAGAAGAATTAATGTTGCTGGACTTTTAACCAGGATTCTTTTGTGTGCCACAAGCATGACATGAAAAGAACGTTTGACCAATTTCAAATTTAAACTAGTAAATAGAGTATTAAATAAGTCATATAGTTAAAAACTCTAAAAATACTAGAGATAAATTAGATATTAACAACTTTGTTTATCAAATAAATTGTACAGATTGCAATAGATCATACATTGGACAACTAAACAGTAGTTGAGCACAAGAATACTTAAACACAAAAGAAAGATAAAAGACCTGGTATGTAGACAAAATTCTTTAACAAAACACAGAATTATAACTTCCTATAATGTAAATATCCAGGATACAAAAATTTTAGACTGTTAAAAATTTCTTGTATCATAAATTAATATTAGAAACTAAACATCAAAACTTGTTTGATTACACAGATATAATCCTATAAATTGAGCACTTTATATGATGGATTTATTGACTTTTCCCAAAATTAAGACATTTCTTTCTTCCTGCCTTACTTGATTTTATATTGTCCCTCTCAAACTCTTATCTACACCCTTTCATACAGTCATATGATACCATATTGAGATCAAAAGTTTTTATCAAGGTATCCCGTTGTGACTTGTGTTTATGTAATTCTTCTATTGAAATATGACCATCTATCCATTGTTTAAAATATTATATTAATTTACTTTTTAAAATAATGGTAGACATATTTAATTTCCGAAACATTGCTATTATTATATATCACATGTAACATTGGTATAAAGCAGTTATATAATTTTGTTTTTAAATTAAGGGCTAAATACAGTCTGACTATATATTATATTATATTTTATACTATATTTTAAATTAATATATACTTAACATCAACTTTGTAATTGATTAAAGTCCTTTTATCTGAGTAATTTTTATTTTACAAATATTTAAATATAATGTACAGAAATACTACAAATTATAAATAATGATTTAAATCATACCAGCTCAAAGTTCCTAAATGAACTATCACTTGTTTTTGCAGTACTTCTTAAATCAAGCAAAAATGTTCATGAATAATTTAAATGGCACTACTAAAATACACTGAACCAATCAGAGGGTTCAAAATGGGAAGTATAATGAAACATGTACAAGGTTGATCCCTGCATTTCTTTACTATGCAAACACTACAATAAGACATTACCTGTGTGTTGCATCCTGTTGATGAGCTTGAAGCACATTCTGCCTCATCAATATTCTCTTCAGGAGCAGGCAACAAATATTTACAAAACTCACGACAGTTTGCTGCAGATCTGGCAACATCAGCAGGCCTTGTTCTGTCCCGTGCATCACAATCAGATGCTGAAGTATTTGTAAACTGAGGGTTTAGTTCCTGCAAGGCAAGTAATTATCACATATTAATAGTTATTAGCTTTATCAGTGAGTTTTAGAGTGTTTGTTCATCCTACGTAAATTGACATTAATGTCATTTATATCATTATTGATAAATATTATTCACATTATAGATTTATGTGGATTTTGGTGAGAGTTCTTTTCATTTTCTGAAGGCATCACACTTTTCAACTTGCAAGGCTTCATTTAGCGATTCAGAAAAAATGAAACCAGAGTTATGATATCTAGCATTTCAAAACAACATTTCCTGGGATTATTACTGCTAATTACAGGAGAACATTTTACTGACATTTGTTTATCACGGAGACATTGCTTGACACACAGAAGACACCATGAAGTGGGATAATAAATGCAACTGCTGCTACCTCGTCAATTTCTTCATCCTCGTTTTCCTCGTCATTATCGTCGTCATCCACATCGGATAGGGGTTCGTACCCTTCATAACCTTCATCTTCATGCTCCTCGTCTGAAGCAGTGACAACGAAATAACCGGCATTATTTTCTTCTAAATTCTCTGGTTCCGGTGGAGGATCTGGCGACCACAATCCTACCATTTTTTGCCTTCTGTTTAGTGATGTTTTTTCGTAGTAATTTTAAATATTCCTGCACGTAAAAGAAATGGGCATAAATTATTAACACACTTTAACACAATTTTACAGCAGTCGAAATAATCACGCTCAGCTAAAATTTTGATATCCGACGATGAATATTCACACTGACAGTCCCAAATCATGCTTCGTGCAAGTTTAAAAAATTAAAGCATCAAAAGGTTTTCTACCGTGAATGATCACGTCGAACCCGCAGGATGTATTTAACAAAGATACAAACCTCAATGCGTTGAAAACTCACCTCGTCTACGAAAATAACTTTAACCAAAATGCCCAAACGTGTGAAATGACAATTTAATACGCCTCTGTACAACAGAATGAAATTACGTCATCACAACAAAGAACTTCCCGAACAAGCACGCCACAAGAACGCAACCCACGCCAGTTCTGATCACATGTTCATAATTACTTGTCATCTCACAGCTCTTCGCTTCCGATTTTAAATTATAAGATATATCGAAACTTCATGAGCCTACATATTATTAGTAACGCAAGTGTAATGAAAAAGCAATCTTAATGCCATTTTATTAAAATAGTGTTAAAGTGGAATTTTAGCGGTCATTTATAACATATGTGTCCACAATTTAAAACTAGTGGTAATCATACTTTCTCTTATTATTGGAAACGGTTCCGTTATATTATAATGAGAACAGAACTCATGCGAAAGTATCCCTAATTTGAACTCTATTACATAAAACTTCACGGCCAGCAACGGATTACTTAGGGATAGCGCATGTCTCTGAGATTGTTGCCATCTCTCAAAAATATTTAATCTGATTTAACTCAATTCCGTAGGTTTACGAAAATATTTTAACCTCCGGAGGCCTAAGGGGATACATTTGTATCCCACTATATATTTTTTCATTTGCTTATGTTTTTTATTAATTGCGTGACAGTTAATTTTCTAACTTGATGGTATCCTCATGTACTGAAAAATGATAACTTAAGAAATTCATTCTTCTTTCTGAAAATATTTTTCTTTTTCGAAAAACGGGGGTTCAAAATCTACTACTCTGGTACTGTGTGAAGCAAATAACCGCAACTATTTCCGAGTCTCTTGAGGAATGAATACGGCATTTTTTCAAATTGTGATGTGAAGTAGATTTGGTTTATAAAATGATGGTTCAATAAAATATCCTGTTATAACAGTGAAAACGTTCTTCAAATTTAAATACCCCGTAAAAGGAATGGCAGAAACGTTTAAACATGAACAACAAAGGATCCTTTATTGAACTTCTTTCAGTATCCTTTATTTCAGTAAACTGAGGTATTCAAGCTAGAGATTTTTACTTTCTAGTTTACGTCGTATAGAACAGCCTTTCTGATATTTCGGACTACTAATTATTTAACCAAAAATAAAATAAAACCAAATAACAAAAAAAAAAAAAAGAAAAAAAAATTCAAATACCGCTAATATCGTTGTTATATAAAAGAATTAAAGAAATTGTCCGCAATTTTCCATTGCTACAATTTTATATTTAATTTATTATCATTATTCATTAATTTAATCGATTATTCCCCTTTAGGAGAGCGATTGAACTTGAATTCAAGATTTTATTTTTGGATGTTTTCTCTCTTCCTTCTCCAGAAACACCTCCGTCAAGCTGCAACCCCCACTTGTTCGAAATTCAAAATTAACTAGCCTATAATTTTGTAC